GTGGGCCAGGTGCCTCTCCTCTCACTAAGAGTGTCCCTGACCCTGAGCTCTCTCCTTTGAAAGGGAATAACAGTGAAGCCCCCTGAAAAGTTAGCTGGGACCCACCGCTCTCATGTCCTCACTGGCCACATCTGCCACCGTCTCACAGAAACAGGGTGTGCTGATCTATGGAGAAAATTTCCAAACAGTTTTTATCCTTTTCCAGGGGACATCTGAGAACTCAGCCCACTGCCCCGTGGCCATAAACCCTGGACATAGTAGGATGTGGGGTCCATGCCTCCTTGCTGCTGTGACTAGTTTCATAAGATGCTCAGAGAGGCCTGTCACCAGTTTCTCTCCAGATCACTGCCCACCAACAATGTGTCATTGTGCTGACACAAAGCATCGTAGAGAACAAGCCATGGGTGTGACCTACACCTGGCCCAGTGGACTTTGGCCGCTCTGGCCAGACTCACCCTTTTCCACGTCCCCAGCCTACATCAAGGACGTTGGAGTGGACACCTTGGTGACTGTGCTCACCCCGGGTCTTTCTGTTTTCGCTCAGGTTCCCTTGGCCTTGGTGACATCGTCTCTTCGGGGTGTAGACATGAGCCCCACCTTCACCCCAGTGCACTGATCATCAACTCGTGATGATGTGTCAGACACTAGATCTAGTCTAGTTCAGTGGCAGACACATAGTAGGTGCTCAGTGTCTCTTGAAGGAATGAATCAGAGGCAGGTTTTCCCATCGTTCTGTTCCTTCATGCCAATAATATTTTAGACTTGCAAACATCAGTTGTCCCTCTTTCCCTACCCATCCCCAAAGCACAAAATATATCTGTTAAAGGCCCATGATTTGTCTTGGTCCTCTAATAAGTCAGTATACCAATGTAAATGGACACAGCCTTTCCCCCACATGTCCAGGATATTGGCCACACTGCTTGCACAGCAGAGCTTTGTCCCCGGTGTGCCTATAGGTAGGAGATGCAGAACAAGGACCATTCTCTTTAAAACAGCCCAGGACCCAGGGATGTTGATGTCCCGGAGCTCCCAGAAGCACAGCAGGGAGGTGCAGACATGCACGCAGCCCCAGCTGGCCTCTCTCACCGTGAGCTTTAACTTCTGAGTTTTTCTCTGCTGGACTAAGAGGGCCCAAGAAAGTCAAGAGAGCTCTCATGAGGGCCCATGGCGGAAACTCATGAAAGCTAACTCCATTGTCCTGCCAAGGAGGTGAATGTCAGGGGTCTGAGCTGGCAGCCAGCAGAGGCTGGTTCGTGGACCACACACACTAAGCTTTCCTCTTTGTTCACTAGACCCCATGGCTGGAGGAAAACGGGTGACCAGGACCAGGCAATGCAGTGGCTAGGGACATGAGCTTTGGAGTCAGAAAGTCCTGGGTCTGAGTTTAAATTCCACCTCTTACCAGCAGGGTCTGGAGCCAAGTCCCCGAACCTGTCCAAGCTCCGTTTCTACACCGAGAAAGCCAGAGTAGTAAGAGGACCTATGTGAGGACTGCCTAGATGAACTGGGGGGCGGGGGGGCAGCAAGGCCTGCAGCGGTAAGCCTGGTCAAGGAGAGCCCTGTGTGAGTCTGCTTGCTGGGCTCCACCTTCTCAATCCGCTGAATTTTACACTCACAAGCCACCCTGGGCTGCTGGCGGGAGGGGGCAGCAGAGGCCAGGCTGAGCTGCCTTCTCTGGGTTTTCTGGGGAGCCCAGAGAAGGATGGAGGAGAAACTTTAAAGCACTCACCAGGACCGCTTGGAAATCTGTAAAGACTGCAGATTCCTGGGTACACCCCCCAGCCCAGAGATTCGAATCCAGTGGTTCTCCAGGCCCTGCCCCGCTCTGAAATCTGCAGTGTGAGCGGACCACCCATGCATTTCTGAGGAGGGTGGTTTCAGGCTGCATTCTGAGAATCACCATCCGAAGTGAAGCCTTGGGGCTCAGGGGCCTTCTGACCTGGAGGTTAGGAGATCCTGGGGGTGAGTCCATGTCGGAGCCCAGGACCAACCCCACTGTCAAAATGTCATCTCTTGAGACGTACAGATGTCATACTCCTCCCTGGGAAGGGAGGGAGCATGCAAGTGGGTCATACCAGGAGACGGGGAGTTTCATGGTTCCCAAACTGGGTGCTGGTTGGAAGTCCCTGAGCAGGGGGCCTTGTAAAATATGGATTCCTGCACCTGGTATGCCTCTCAGCCCACCTGCTCACACCTACACACCACCAGATCTCAGGGTGAGACATGCATGGGTCCCATGACCACTCCTGTTGGAGCCACCACCACCCCCAGAGGTCCTAGAAGACAGTATTATTAGAGATGAGAAAACAGAGGTTCAGAGGTGACTGCTTGTGGTGGTCAGGTGGTGGCAGAGCCCAGAGTCTAGCTCCGTATTCCCACTGCCTCAGGAAAGCTGCCTGCTAGCGGGGGACAAGCAGGCGGGGAGCCCGGCATTGGTGCCACAGCGCTGCCCTCCCATCCCCAGCCCCCCAGCCCAAAGGGAAAGGAAAACAGCGGGGACCCAGCGGACCTCGGTGGGCCGCGTTTTCCCATCAGAAGTGCACCCCCGAGCGTCTTCCAGCTGCCCCGCGCTTGCACCCAACGTGGACTGGGAGTGAGCTCCGGGCTGCGGTGGCCTTCGCCAGGGCTGCAGTCCCCTCTGGGAGCCCAGAGGCCGCGCCCAGGCGCTTCTGCGGCCAGAGGGTGCAATGGGCGAGCTGCCGAGGCTCCGGTGCGCCCTCCGCATCAGCCCCGCGTGGAGAACCGCGAAATCTGCGGAATTTGTGATCCACGAACAGAAACCCTGTCGCAGGCATCCTTGCGACTTCTCCGCTTCTGGGCCTTTTATTATTGGGGGTGGGCGGGTGGAATTACACACATTTAGGGCATGGGATGGGCTGCATTGTTCCAAGACAAACTCCCTAAAGATAGCGCAACGACTTTGAATCGATCCCGTTGAAGATGCCTGTCTGCTAGGACGGTTCCCGTTTCTGCACGCAGGGCCAGTGGTTTCGCACCAGACTCTTAAAACGTTACATTTTGAGTTTGTAACTTGCACGTGACGGGCACGCTCTCAGCGGGGCGCGCGGCAGCGGGAGCTTCGCCCTGCGGCCTCCGGTGCGAGCCCGCGCCCGAACGGGCCACCGGGAGGACACAAGCCCAGCGAGTTCGGTCTCCGCGCAGCAGCGGCGGCAGCGGCGGCGTGAAATCTCGGACGTGGGTGTGGAGCAATTTTTTCCTGCGAAATCCGGCCCTTTCAGGTTTGCCTGGAGCCGAGCTCTCCTCCCGGGGAAGGCTGGACTTTTCTGTCATCCCCGGGTCCCAAGTCAAGCCCGAAAACAGCCGTCATGCCCATCCCAGGCCGGTTTCCCCGCACCCTGGACGTGGACACGCTGGGAGATCGCGCTGAACTGCAGGCGCCACCAGGAGATGCACAGGAAGCCGGGGTTCGCTGCCGCCCTGGACTCTGGCACAGCCGCGGCGCCAAAGCCACGTACAACCAGGGCGCACCTAGGCCTCTGGCGCGCCAAGGGTCCCAGCGAGCGGGCCAGGGGGCTGGAGACGCTGCAGGAGGAGACCGGGGAGCGCGCCGGCTGGGCTGGCATTGAGTTTCTCCTAATCAGCCCCACTTCCCCGGAGCCTCCGACCTAATTGGGGCGCAGGCTCCGACGGAGGGAGGAGGAGGCCCGCTGTTGCCTGCAGAGGTTGTCTGCGTGGAGGCGCGATGTTCCCGCGCTGGAGGCCCGGGGGCTTTTCCCTGGCCTCGTTCTCCTGGGCACCGGTAGGAGGCGGGGACGCGGAGAGGTGGCCTCTCCTGGGAGGACAGTGCCTTGTCTATCCGCCGCGAACCTGCCCTCGGAGCACCAGGCCGTGCGCGCCCGGGCGCCAGCGCGCTTCGCCCAGGAGACCCCGGCCCGATGCGCTGGCCTGTCCGAGACCCCGAGGGACACGGAGTCACCGGTCTTTTCCTGTCCCCTTTATCTCGGTTTTATAGACAGCTGTTAGGTTGGGACATTAATTGCCCGGGCGACTTTATTGATAATTTTGATGTAACAGAGCACCGGAGAAATTACCCTCAGGTCCAAAATGTCAAATTTGAGAAGAACCAGGTTCAGAGAAACTGCGGTGGGTCTCAAACGGCCGCACCAACAATGCGACTTCATTGTGTTTGTTTTCCCAAATAGCGGGAATGGGACTAGAAAGAGGGTGATCAGCAGGAGACAGAGGCTCTTAAAAAATATTTTTTGGTTCTTGGTTTTGTTGGTTTTTTTTTTTTTTTTACTCCTGAGGATTTAGGGGGAAATGTTACAGGATTGGAAACATGCGTTATCACCTTGCTCTCCCACCAAAGGCCCCTTCTTTCCGCACAAATTTTACTCGCTTATTGATTTGGGAAAAACAAGTGTAGGATACCAAAAAAACAAAAACAAAAACCCAACAACAACAACAAAAAAACGCTTAAGAGTTCTCTCATGATTTATAACCGCTGGAATATTGGAACAGTCAAGTCTGGAGCAAAGGACAACTCTCACTGGTCTTGGAGTGGGAGAAATTAAAAATATAATTTTTATAGATTTATATATTTCTACATATCTATGGTCTTCCCTGGGAGAAGGAGGACTATAGTTTTTTTTTTCTTTCAACGTTTGATTATTTCTTTAAAAAGAGAAATGACATTTAGAGAGGCAGAGGGCTCTCCTTAAAAACAGAAGCCAAGAAAAATAGCTACTCGTGTCCAGATTTCACCTCAATGTGCAATGAAGAGTGAAAAGAGGAAGATTAGCCAAAAAAAAATTTGAAAAAGAAAAAGAGGAAAGTATTGAGAATCACCCATATTTAAAATATAAAAAGGAAAGAAAAAAAAGTCCAGCTATCCCAAGCCAGTTTCTGTCTATATTTTGGGGGTTTCGAAGATATTCTGCAATCCCAATAAAATACTCATGCGATTTTATTTCTACTTGATACAATGTTAAAGGCCATGTACAAATGTTATACATTTTTATTTTTGTTCTTTTTTAGGAAAAAAATACACAAAAGGCAAAACATCCTCAAATTATCATTTTATACAGTGCAGAAGGAAATTTAAAATACGTGTCACAAACGCTGCATCCCAGCAGCCAAAATACTAGAAAAAAAAAGAGAGGGTAGTCCTTCATTTTATATATATATTTATATAAAACATATGGGAATTTGTTTTTACACAAATTGGACTTTGTTTCAAATTTACAATGGATATCTAAAAAATTCTACGCGGCAAATATTGCCAACAAAGTTACACCATTAATACTGATAAACAGAGGAGCCTATGCGGTGTTTCGATTACTAGGGAAAGAAAGAATAAATAACAGGATGAGCCTTGCTATAGTTATAAAAAGTGCCTTAACCTTCACCGCAATCCTGAATTCGCGCGCTAGCCGGGCCTTCCCCATCCCCGCGTCGCGTGTGTTCGCCTCGCTTCGCACCAGAAAGTTTACAGTAGAGGTCGGGAGACAGCCGGGTCTCGTGAGAAAAACACCCACCGAAAAAGTCCAAGTAAAACTCTAAACAAAACCAAAAAGACTGCAGAGAAGGGAGGAGAGGAAGGCGGAGGGGGATGGCAGAGGCCCGGAGAGCCGCCCGCTTCTGGGCTCCGTGTGTTTCTTTTTCAAGACGAACAGTGGCTTCAGAAATGCAAGTCGTCCGCACATCCACCTGTGGCTGCTGCAGGACTTGAGGTGGGGAGGGAGAAGGCGATGTCTTGCCCCCCTTCCCTGCAAAAGACGGCTCTAAAAAGAGACTTGCGCATTCCAAGACATTCTTTCCAAAAAAAAAAAAAAAGTTAAAAATAAAAAGATAAATACTCAACCAAAAAATAAAAGTATTTGATAATGATGGTCTCATATGTTTGCCTTTCTTCTAAAAAAAAAAAAAAAATCTCCCCCCTCCGCTTTTTCCACTGGAGGGTTAAGGGCTGGGAGAGACCTCAGCAGAATTTTTGTTTAGATGTTGAGGGTTTTCCCCCAACACAGCACCTTCTCAGCCGGTTTCAATCGGAACAAAAATAGATATTTATTTACCAACAGCTGCAGTCAGATCAGGCCTTACAGCCATCATTTTTTTTTTTTTTCCTTAATTTTGAGGGAATAGGGGGAGGAGGTGCCGACCACTGCGCGGTGTCTTTGCCCTGGGGGTTCCTTTTGAAATAATCCGATTGGGGAGGGGTCAAACCCTTTTCTTCTGCCGACGGTTATACCTCGAGAATAAAGCAGTTTCTTGCGATGGGTTCCCAGGTCCCTGTTTGGCGGCCTGTGCCGGGAGGGCCCCACGGGCTTGGGCTCACATCACACAGGGCTTGATGTCTTGGTAGGTGACCTGCTGGTGGTAGTAGGAGCCGCTGCCGGCAGAGTGCATGGAGGAGGACGCCATGGTGTTGAAAGAGAAGACAAACTCCTTTCGGTCACACATGCTGGGCGACTGGGAGTGATACCGAGGGATGCCTGTGAGGGAGGTGACAAGGGGCCAGAGTTCAAGACGGAGAAGCAGCGCTGCCCACTGACCTCTGGGTCCGGGGCCCTGTCCTCCCCACTCTCCACCATGGTGCACTCCCTGAGTTCCGGGCCCTTACTCGGGCCCTGGGCTTGGGCACCCGAGGGGAAGGTTCTGGAACACCCTGTGACCATCCCTGCTCCCAGGGGCTCTCGCCGCCTGGGCCTCTCCTGCCCTGGACACGGAGCCCGGGCTGGGGGCTTCCGGATGCTGAAGAGGAAGGGGTGGGGTTGGGGCCAAGACGGGTCTGCAGCTGCCAGGGAGGGCCCTGGCCGCCTCCATCTCTCGGGCAGCCTTCGGCCTGGTGCAAGGGCGACTACTTCCCAACCCCGAAGGCGGTGGAGGCCTCAGCGCTGACAGAGAAGCATAGGGCCATCACAGCGGTGAAGGGTGGCTTCTTCAGGGGAGGTCCCCCTTGGAGAACAGGGCCACCAGGGCAACGAAAGGCCAAGGGTTTGAAGCCGCCCAAGCAGGGCAAACCCAGATCCTCGCGGAGAAGTGGCCTTTCCGCCACCAGGCCACCAGGCCCGGCTCCTGCCTCCCACAGGCTAACAGCTGAGTCCTGCAAGGCCATGCCCTACTCACCCCATGCTCTTGCCAGAAGTAGGCCAGAAGACTGCTGGTGGGTGCTGGGATGAGGGGGTTCGGGAGGGGAGACTGTTCTCATCTTCTCTCTGAGGGTTGGGGAGAGGGTACCTGGGGACCCAAAAACCTGGATCCTGAGAAACAAAGAGTCGGTGGGGCCTGCAACTCTGATCCTCGATCTGGGCCCGGCCTGAGACCCTCTCTGCCTCTGTCACCACAAAACGACCCCTACTCAATCTTCACAAGGCCAGGCCTGGTTCTCCGGAAGGCCAGGGTGCTGAGCCTCTGTGCACCGAGACCGGGCGGCTTTGGGCCTAACTCTTCCATTCTGCCCAGGCAAGGAGCAGAGCCGACTCTCCTGGCAGCTTTCTGAGTGACTACCCCCGGAGGGTGAGCCTGCTGGCCAGGGCTGGGCCCCATCTCCATCCTGGGAACTTGCTGAGGTGTGAGGGGGCCTAACGGACCAGAAGCGGCTTAGAATATTTGGATCAGAGCCTTTTTGGTGGGACCTGGCCATGCTCCGGAAGGCCAGCAGCCTAGAGTTGTAAAAGAAAAAGAGAAACAACGACATGGCCCAAATCAGGGCCCAAGCTGCATTTGCCCTTCAAACGGAGGGAGGTGGGGCTGAGAAACACCACAGTATTGGGGTTGGTGCCCCACATAAGTGGCTGCAGGCTCTCACCCAAGGGTAGTCAGCAAATCGGGGTGCTGGGTCCACAATGCACTCACAGATGTCCGGTTTCCCCAGGACTTGGGCCGCCCGGACTCCCCACTCACCTTGCAGCTCAGCTGGGGCGTTGTGACTGTTCTGGTGCAGATAGGGCTGGTCCAGGGAGTGCGTGGAGAGGCTGCCGGACAGGGGGTTAGCTGCGGGGTTGCAGGGGGACAGGGGCTGCTGCTTGATGTAGGAGGCGCCGCTGTTGAGCGCTGCGGAGGCCGAGGGCGGCCAAGCGGCCGCAGAGCCCGAGTAGACGGCATGAGGTTCCATGACCCCACCAGCGGCGGGCAGCAGCGGGGAAGCGGGCACCGAGCTGTCGTGGTGAGGGTACTCGCCGGCTGCCGCGCCGCCACAGCTTCCCATGTACGAGTGGCCGCCATTGGCGGGCAGGTGGGGCACCGAGTGGCTGGGCAAAGCCATGCCGTCCACGTTGCCCGGCAAGTGGCCATTCATCATGCCCAGGCCGCCTTCAAGCGCCAAACTGTTGGGCGGACAGGAGAGGCCGCCGGCCGAGCTCTGGAAGCCGTAGGTGTCCGGGAGGTGGTTGAAGCCCAGCCCGTTCATCATGCTGTACATGGGCTTGAGCGCCTGGCATTTCCTTCGGAAGCCGCGGGGCCGCCTCCGAAAGGAGCCCTCCTCGAACATGAACTCGCTGGCCGGGTCGATGGTCCAGTAGTGGCCCTTGCCTGGCCGCCCGAGGCCCTTGGGCAGCTTGATGAAACACTCGTTGAGCGAGAGGTTGTGGCGCACCGAGTTCTTCCAGCCCTGGTAGGAGCCGCGGAAGAAGGGGAAGCGGCTCTGCAGGAACTGGTAGATCTCGCTGAGAGTCAGGCGCTTGGTGGGCGAGCTCTGGATGGCCATGACGATGAGTGCAATGTAGGAGTAGGGCGGCTTCTCCGGGCGCCGGATGCCGGCGTTCGTCTTCTTGGCCTTGGACGGGCCGGACGACGCGGGGTCCATGGCCGCGCCGCCTCCCCCGCCGCCGCCAACGCCGCCGCCGTGCGGTGGCTGCTGTTTCTCGGGCGCCGAAGACATCGGGTGGCTGCTGCCGCCGCCGCTGCCGCCGCTGCTCTGCGCCGCCGACGAGCCGGGAGGAGGAGGAGGAGGAGGAAGAGGAGGAGGAGGGGGGGGAGGGCGAGGGGGAGGGGGCTGCGCGCGCGGGGCTGGCTGCACCTCTGCCGTCATCGGCGGCCACTTCTCCCGAGCGAGCCACGGCGCGCCCTCCCCCGCCCGCTCGTCCTCCCGGAGGAGCTGCTGGATCGGCCGGCGGTTGGCGCAGAGCCCCTCTCTCTCTAGAGCTCCCTCCTCCCCCCACCTCTATCTCCTCCCTCTTTCCCTCTCGCCCTCCCACAAGGGAAGGAACAGAGCGGAGGCTGAGGGCAGCCTCTTGGCAGCAAGGGCGGAGGCTGCGGGAACCCCCCCAAACACACACCGGTTTTTGGGGGGAGGCACCAATTCTAGGGCCTGGGTCCGTGCGCCCCCGCGGGGACCAGTGCTTAGTCCGCACCACCCGCAGCCCTCGACTCCAAAACTCCAGCCGAGGCCGTCCTCACTGCACCTTCTCTGGGCCGCGTCTCCCGGGCCGGCGTAAGACCCTCCAGGAGTTTCCTCCCCACCCTGCCCCCCTCTGGCCCCCACGTTGGTGGGCGCTTAAAGGGCCCCCACCCTTGCCGCCCAGCGTCGCCAGCAGAACCCGCCCCGCCTCCACCAACCTGGCGAGCAAGTGTTAAAGCGCCCTGCGTCCGTGGTTCAGCCCCGCTGCGCGCAGGCCCCCGCCTTCCCTGCCCTGGCGGCGCCACGGGAAACCCACCCCGGGTCCAGGGCCTTTCCCGACGAGTACAGACCAGTGGCAAATCGCAACTGCAGTGGCGGCAGCGGCCTCCAGGTCGTGGCCATCACGGCACAACCGGCTCGGCTACGGTCCCCGCAGCCAGCGGGCGTACGTTCCCGCGAGGGACCGCCTCCCCACTCTCCCCGCCCCGGGAAGGACTACGCCGCGCCCGGGACTTTTCGGACTCGCCCAGCAGCTCGCGAGCAGGCGGTCAGCCGCCGGAGCCGAGAGCAGGAGGAAAACGAAAGCGCAGGGCGAGTCGCTGCCACTTTGTCTCCGGCTCCGCTGGGCCGGGCGGGAGCAAGTGAGGACGGTTGGTCTTCAGGGACCAAAATCGCACAGGCTCCCAGAACAATTGTCCCTGCTCATCCACTCACTCATGCACACACATGTATGTATTGATGCACATGCAGACCCGGTATATGACTAGACTCAGATGTGTAAGCTCACTCCCACTCGTGCGTTTCCACTCGCACAGGGCGCTCCAGCATGTACGCGCCCACTAATGCGCTCACTCACGCACACACAATAGGCCCATGGGAGCTTAAATTTGCACCAACTCCCACCCACATGTGCCTTAGCCACGCTCGGATTTGCATCCACCCGAAGCTCGGTTGATTCCCCCACTCCCACTACCTCCACCCACACGCACACACTGAAAACCCGCCTATTATTTGGCCCCGCAGCCCTGATGTCCCCACTTTCCAAGAGCAGGTTCCAATTTCTCATGGATGGTAAAGGCCCTGGCAGGAAGTTTATACGGTTCAATGTAAACATGTTCTGAGGGATTCTTTAATAATAATAATAATAGAGAATTCCGCGTGCGCGGGGGGAGTTGGCCTAATGCCTCTGTGGGCTGGCCTGTCGCCGCAACGGGGCCTCTGACACTGCGCACCCGGCCAGGTTCCGGAAAGCTGTCTGCGCGGGTGGGGAGCGCCGGCTCAGGCGGCCCTCGAGCTCTTGGCTGCCCGCAGCAGGGGGCTTGTACGCACTCCTCCCTCCGCCAACCTTGTAGCACTAGGGTGTGCGCTACGCGGGGGTGGAGGGGCGGTGGCGCCGAGTGCAGGACAGCGCAGGAGCCGAGCGCAACGCCGCACACAGGGACCCAGGTGAGTGCTGTCTGCGCGCAGACTGCGGGGCACCAGGCTCGGCCTCTCCCGCCAGGGCCTTGGGTCGGGGGAGGGAAGCGAGGGGTGTTTTTTGCGGGTCATCGCGAGGAGCCAAGATGCCATGCTCTGGCTCAAGCTGGGGTGAGAGGCGTGTGCTGGGCTCCGAGAGCGGCCCGCGGCGCTTTTCAAAGCCGCCGGCCTCTCGCGTTTCTCTGGTCGCCCGGTCTCCTGCTGACACCCCTCCTCGTTCGCTCGGTGGTAGACGCCTCGTCGCCATCGGGGCGCCAGGCCCGTCCTTGCGAGGAGCTGGGTCTTCGCTGGCGTTGTCTGGCCAGCGCTCGCCGCCTGATCCTGTGGAGCCGCGCTATTGGAGACAGGAGAGTCATCTTCCCTGCTCTGCGCTTCCTCCTGGCTCGCACGGCCTAGGCTCGGCGCGCAGGCAACCAGCCGGCCTGAGGAACGGGTGAGTGCAGGACGTGACTGGGTTGTGTGTCGCTGCATCTTCGCGCAGGTAAATGCGCAGTGGCAGACCCACCTCCGCCTCCACTTCACACGGCCCAGTCAGCATCCACAGACCAGACACCCTCTGCACCTTGCCCACCTCCAATACACCCCCTCAAGCTAACACCCCACACACAGCTCAGGTGCCCCACCCTCTCACAGATGCACAGGCCTGCCCCGCGCTGAGGACACACTTTCGGTTAAATGCACACACTCCTGCACTGCACATTCTCCCACGCACTGTCCGCCGCGTATGCAGGCGCAATCGCGCGCACAGCCGCTCCACGCGCGCACGCACACGTCCACATCCACCCGCATTCTCGCCCTCTATCACTTATTTTCCTCCGCCAAACGGCAGCTGCAGGCAAGGAGGCCCAGGCAGCGCCGGGAGGGAAGTTCCTGAGAAGGGGTCGCAACCACCAGCTGCTGGGAGCACATCTGGCCTTCAGAGGAGAAACGAGCGGGGGAGGCTGCTGCTCCAAAGCCAGCGAGGGGTGCAGCACTCCCCATGGCTCCCCAAAAGTGATAGGAACGCCTCCCTTTCTCTCGCTCCTCCTCCACTGACCCGGCGCCTTCAAAGTGAGGGGGCTCTATAGAGTATGAAGTTGGGGGGCTCTTTTTCCAGTAGCCCCCCTTTCCTCTGAGGCCCTCTCCAGTGGGGAGGGGCTGCAAATTTCCTTTTGGCTAACCCCCAGAGCAAGCTTCCTCCCTCCTGCACATCCTGTCTCTCACCCTCTCTGCTTGGGGGGCCCTAAGTGTTTTGGGGTGGAGGAGCTACTGCCTTCTGGGACAAAAAGTGTAGAGTCCAGCCCCACCTGGCCTCCACTTACCCCTCAGGTTCTGACAGCAAAGCACACTCTGCAGAGGAAGGACTGCATTTACTATGCCCAGGGAGAGGGGCCCCCAGGGGCCTTGGAGCCTCAGGAATGTGGCAGATAGAGGCTCTCCCCAACCCCTAATCTCCACCAGGCAGGACGTAAAGGTGGAGGCATAAGAAGGAGGGGAGGGGGAATGAACTCCTAGTTCTGGAACTTGGGGGAAATCCCCCTCAATTCTGGAAATAACCTCAGCCAAAGCAAGGAGGGCTTTATTTCACGCCCAGGAACTAAGCTCTCGACTCTTAAGACGCCCCTGAGAAGTCCTACCTCACCTTGCATTTTTAGGGTGGGGAAACTGAGGCCCAGTGAGGCCTGGCCTGGGTCAGCCAGTGCTGATAAGCAAATGTCTCTTCATCTTTTCTCTCCACCCTCAAGGATAGACTGTCATTGCATTTTACCTTCCCAGATGCCTCACTGCAGGCTGAACCAGGACAGTGGGATTTAGAGATGCTCTACCTCCAGGCTTGCCCGGCTTCCTAGGCCCAAGGCACCGAGAGGCCTGCTGGGGAATCGATGCTGATGAGTCATAACAACCACCACAAACATAATGTCAATTGGGCTAATCAATCGCTGATCATGCCCAAGTACTGATCATCACCTTATCAGCACCCCCTTGGATGATGTCCTCTAGGCTGTGAATCCCTTTGACCAACTGTTGAAAATTACATTTACCGCTCCCTCCCTGCAGCGCGGGCACACACACACACACACACACACACACACACAGAAAGTACATACCTGCGACATTTGTAAAATGATTGTCAAGGTTTTACCAAACACTTTGAACCCACCATCCACGGGTCCCATTGGTGAATCTGGGACCTCTAATTCATGAACCCAGGATGCTGGCTAAATGCCCCGAAAGTACTTGTTTAATCTTCACAGAAGGCCCTCCCAGGTCAATATTATCCCTCCTTTTGCAGATGGGGCTCAGCGAGGTTACCCTGCGTCCTAGGTCACCCTGCAGAGCCAGGATACAAACCCAGGTCTGACTGCTGGATCAGGGGTTCAGCCTGTGCCATGGGGTGAGCATCAGCAGTGGACAGGGCAGAGACCCTCTGCCCGCAGATTTGGAATCATTGTCAAGATGTAATCCAGCCTCTACCGTGTAGGGATGTTGCATGAGCGGTTTGTGCCTTAGTTTCACTTTTTGAGGGAGGGAGGGGTTATTGTTGATTTATTTTTGTCCCAGCTTTATTTATATAGAAATCAAACACAATATTGCTGAAGTTCAAAGTATATTATGTATTGGTTTAATACATTTATATGTTGCAAAATGATTACCCCGATAAAGTGAGCTGCCCTCTTGGTTCATCCACATAATTACCATGTGTGTGAGTGTGTGTAGAGAGCATTTAAGATCTATCTACTCAATTAGCAACATTCAAGGATATGATACAGTATTATTAGATATAATCACCATGCTGTAACTTAGTTTCTTCATCTGAAAAAAAAAACGGGACAAATAATTGCACCTTTTTCTTAGGGCTGTTGGGAGCACTGGACAAGACTGTGCAGAGACAGACTTAGGCTACCCAGACAGACAAACAAACAAAATCGGCTTGAGGGGCAGTTAGAGAAAATGCAGACTGGGATGTGGCAGATTTTTACTCTTAGCTTAAAGATCCCCAAAGAGCCCCCCTCCCATCTCAAATCAAATGTGCGCCCCAACGCCAGCCCCAGGAATCTCAAAACGGGGGCGGGGGTGTAAAAACAGACACGCCTGCCACGTCTCCCACTCCCCAAGCCCAAGGTATTTTTACTGGCTAATTGCTTAAGTGAAGCCGCCCGGGCCGAGAGCGCGCAGTAACCCGAGCAGGGAACCAGATCCAGCTCGGATTGTGCCGGGGCTGGCCCAGGGGCGGG